GTGGTCTGTAGAGTATAAAATGCCTTGTGCCAGTGGTGTGTAGGAGTATAAAGTGCCCCGGTGGTTTGTAGGAGTATAAATTACGCCAATGGTTTGTAGAAGTATAAAATGCCCAATAATTAATGGCCTGTAGGAATATAGAAAATGCCCCAGCTTCAGTGGGAGTAATAAAAGAAACCCTTTCCCCAGGGCATTAGTGTTAGTAATAAAAGACCATTCCATGCTTGGGTGCTGTTATGTTCTGCAATGGGATGTTAAGGTTTGATAGTGATAGTTTTGCTAATAAGGTAAGTCCAGTATTTAGTGAATGTGTACTTTGCTCGTATAGGTAAAAGCAGCTGGTTCACTAAATCCAGCCTCAAATGAAGAAAAATATAGTCCCGTAAGTTTAAAAAAAAAAGAAAAAAACTTTCTGTGCAATACTCATTTCCTCGGCACTGTCACCTGCAGAGCCACTGTTCTTTGGTCCAATGTAGATCTTCTTACAGGTTAAATGACACCCAGTGTCCTCATTCTATGGTTGTTACCAGAACAGGGGGTGAGAGAAAATTGTCTAGTAGTGATACCTGTTGTGGTGACAACTGCCTAAGGAATTTTCCCTTATGAAGTGATTTCCTCTCACTTGTGTTTCCTGAACAAGGAGTGAAAGAAAATATCCCCAATGAGACAATCAGAGAAAACACTTATCGGGGTTGTAACCCTTTTTCGCACTATTCAAAAGGAAACAAAAATGTTTTGAATATAGTGACCACTTTAAAGTGAACCTGTGGCCAGACTAGGAACTGTCAGGGCAGGGGCCTAGGAACGGACAGGCAGGCCTAACAATGTAACGCCCTGGCTGACGACAACCACCACCCACATACCAAAGTCCCTCAGGGCGCGGAGTCTAAGTCCCAGGCTGCCCTTCACCAGGGCCCCTGATGGTGGGGATGGACTTGACGCAGCCAGGAACCAGGTCGCAGCCCCCGAGACACCCCAGCTGTGGTAATGGCCGCCGCCAATGGCGTATAGCTGGTGGAAGAGACAAAAGAGTAGTCAGACAGGCCGGGTCAACAACAATAGGACAAAACAGTACAGGACAGCAGACGAGAATCACAGGTCATGAGCCGGGTTCAGCAACGGAGGGTCAGATCAAAGGAGAATACAAAGAATAGTCGAGTACAAGCCGAATCAGATACCAGGAGAGTCACGAGAGTCAAAACAGAGTAATAGCAACACAAAGACACAAGACACAAGTGCAAAGAGCATGTGCGGACCACAGGCTTATATGTCATCAGCCACACCCCTCTGGGGGATGGACCTCAGAGACCTGAAGGCATAAAAGGATTCCCACCATGCACAGCAGAAATCCAAGATGGACGCCAGCACATGGAGTAACATAACCTCAGGGAAAAGGTAGGACCTTGACAGGAACATTCAAGTATTTGCCAAATCTTAGCGATTGGTAAATGAGCTTTAAAGGAAGCCCTTACTGACCTCTGTAGCTGCAGACATCGCGCAGAGTAATGCCTCCTCAAAATTAACAACTTTGAAGTCGTTCTCTCAGTGGCTCAGACCCCCCTTCCCCACAATAACTAAGCAGCTATCATGTACCTAGTGCTGGAGGCCAATGGAGAGAGGCCTTCCCTTGTGGCTAAGTTCCAGACTCCCCTGAAGATGAGACGGAAAGAGTCAGGCCCAAAATAGAACGGGTTGCCTGCAGAAGTGCTTGTAGAGATGATCTGACTGAGAATTCTTATCAGAGGTACACCCAGGAACACAGGTGATTCATTTGAATGGTGTCTGCAGACAGTTGGCACCCGTGAGAGATAGCAGCCCTTCAGAGTAGCAGGGGACAGAAGCGAAGGTAGTTTGGAGCCAGGGTCAGATGCCAGGTGGAGATTAGAGCAGATGTAGTCAGATGGATAGCCAGGGTCATACACAAGAGAGCAAGTGAAAATATCTGTTAGCCAAGCCAGGGTCATACACAGGAGAGCAAGTGAGAATATCCATTAGGCAAGCCAGGGTCATACACAAGAGAGCAAGTGAGAATATCTGTTAGCCAAGCCAGGGTCATACACAGGAGAGCAAGTGAGAATATCCATTAGGCAAGCCAGGGTCAGATCAGGAGACAGGCAGGTCCAAGAACAAGTCAAGTCGGTAACAGGAGATCACAATAGTAGGGAACACAGGACAAAAGCACTGGGGAGCCAGAGATCAACCAGTAATTGGAGAGAGTGATTAACTTCCTTATAAAGGCTATCTGGTGCCAAACTGGGCTGGTGATGTCCATAACTGTGCGTCAGTGCACATGCATGTTCTGGCTTATACCAGTGCACATGTGTGCGCCAATGCGCATGGATGCCTGCCAGTGTGTAGCCATGCAAAGTCTGGCAGGAATGCAAGGTCTCCGAATGCCTCTGCTGTGGATAGAACCCTGACAGCAACCTTCCAGAGCAGATGCATTGGGAGGCTGGGGTGCAAGGGAAGCTAAGCAGAAAGGAGACCAACTTCTGTGCTTCTGCTGTGAACTTTAAGGATGAATGTCTCCACAGTACCTGCAGCAAAAAAAGGTTTTATTACTCCCTTTACTTCCTGATATAAATATATTAATACCAAAATGTCCATAGCCTAGCTACTAGCTCACTTTGTTCACACATGCCTCAAAAAGGGGGGGGGGGTGCATGGGCATGTGTTCCTGAGGCCCCCTGACTGCTGGCCTGCCTTTGGGAGTAAAAGGAATTAGGTACTGAAAATGGTAAACCAGTCACAAACCTCTGGGGCAAAAACCACAATTATGGCAAGGTGCTGCTGTGGCAAGGTCATCCCCAAAAACTCCATAAAGTTAAGATTAGATTTATAAGAAATCTTTAGTTGTCTCAAGACAGTCCTACTTTTTGGACCCCACATTTTTTGATGAGTCCTTCTATGGTCCTCAAAAGTTCTACTGTTATGTGATTCTATGATAAGGAGGCCTTCCCTGGTCCTCAAATGTTCTACTGTCTTGTGACATCTGTGGAAATCTTATAAATCCAATCTTCCTCCAAAAAATAAGTTGTGCTGGTAAAAATCACTTGAAATGTGTATGCCAACGAGATGCAAACCTTTCACATCATGGGAAAATTCTATAGGCTGATTTATGTTCATTTCTTTCATGGGTTTTGCTACCCTTCCGAAAGCTTAGCATCAGTCATGCAGGCTCAGTATATACTTTTGAACCTTTACAAGGGAAGCTTGACTTGGGGTGTGTCCAGTGTGTCATCCAGCTTTGCCTTTTCTGAACCCAAAAAGCCAGCATGTGCTTTTGAATGGTCTTGTTCATGTTCTTCTATATATAATGTTTGCTGTTGGAATTGCTGACATCCTTAAACAAAGCATTTATTACAGCAATAACATAGAAGTCTTTTGTTGTTCTAAGTAAATGGTACACAGCAGGAAAAAAAGGTCAATAGGGCCAAACTGTCACTGCTAAGTTACAGCAGTGGTATCTTTTTATTTAATTAACATACTTTCATGGTTACCAAGGATGTTTCCTATCATGTAAAGAGGACCAAATCTAATTCATTAAATTGTATGAAGGAGTCTCAACTAAATATTCCTAAAGAGGGGTGGACTGACAACTCATGGGGCCCCCGGGCAATAGGGGCTCATGGGGTCCCTGTGTCCTCGCCCACACCCAAAAAAGCCTATGAAAAAGCCAATTAAAGGTACCAGGGGCATCTCATGGGGCCCCCTACTGACCCCGGGCCCTCGAGCATTGCCTGAGTGCTCGAATAGTCATTCTGCCCCTGTTCTTAAATTATATTCACAAAACTACCCAAACCTAACAGAAACGGAGGTATTTGATATTATTATGCCATTTTGTGTGAAGGGTAATAAAGTAGACCTTCCATGAAAAGGTATGCTTTATCTTGGGCTCCCCAACCTTTTCAAATGCAAGTACTTAAAGAAAACATTCGTAATAGTCTTGAAATGGAGGTAGATATGTGTGTTTTGTTTCATAACAAGTGAATTTTCCTTCTAAAATGTGTTTTTTAGAGATTCGGATGTATACAAATCTCTGAATGGACATAGCAATGAATGTAAATGAATCCAAAAAAAGTTTATAAAGAAATTAACAAATGCATTTGTTTCATTCGGATGACATCACCTAATAGTAGGTTGGGCCCATGGGGAAATGAATTTAATTTTCAAATTCTTTTGATAATTTGGACTGAAGTAATTTTGTGATTTAACCCCTTCCCACCGGCGCCTCTCGCCCCTTTAAGAGTTTCAGAAGCAGGGAGGCGGGATGGGGGGGTTTAGGGATCCTGTGACCGCCGTGACGCGTCATCAAGGCGGTCACATGATCGGGAAAGGTCCCGATCGAAAGATCAGACTGGGACCTTTCCGTGAGTACCAGACATGTGTGCTGGGAGCGTGCAGGGTGCGTGCTCTCAGCACATATGTTTTTTGTTAATTGCACGCAAATGTTCGGCAGCTCGGTGTCTATGCCCAGACGCTGGGAGGTCAAACATTTGTGTGCTGCCGGCGTGAAGAGGTTAAATTAATTTTGTAATTGTCACAGTCAGTTAGTTCAGTTCCACAGTTTAATGCAATTTTTAGGTTTGAAAAATTTGCCACCCATTTTGCATTATTTATTCTTTTGTGTTCGAAAATATTGAATCCTTCATAATAGTTTTGAAATATACATAACAAATAACGAATCCACCCAGACCAACAAATATACAAAACAAATGCTGAAGATATGAAACAAATTTAGAAAACAAATCGGTTCAACATAACAAATATGATGAAACAAAATTCTTCAATGAAGGAATGCATCCAAAATTAAATGAAAATTTCAGGTGTGCACTTCTAAATGGAGGCACCCAGCTGGGCCTTCCAAATCCAGTCTTCATAAGTGCACTTAAGATATACAAAAGTCACAGCATGAAGAAAGTACTGCCGATAACCGGCAATTGTCAAAGAACAGATCGGCACTGATGATCAGCTCCATGATGATCAGTGCCACCCAGCAG